GGAGAGAGGAGAGGAAGGGCTAACAGCAATGGGCTCCTTCTACACCGTGTCTCCAGAGCTAGGCCCTTGCAGGTCGGTCTGCAATCCTGCAATCGGCACGACCCTATCTCCGCGGGGGAGAGATACAGCTCCGGGAGGCGCGAAGTGAGCGCTCCCTGGCCAGAATCGCCAGTTCACACACCGATCCGGTAAACAATGGGAAAGGGCTCATTTGTCAGAGGTTAGAAGGTAGATTCCAAAGTTTGCCTCCCTCCGCCTCCTCTCGGTGAGATCTCCCATTTCATAGGATGAGGGCTTCACCTTGCTGGTGACCACACCATTTGGAAAACCCCTCCCCCTTCGTGGGTTCCCCGCTTCCCCACTTCCTCCCACTCGCCCCCCACCTCCATCAAAGTCTCCGTAACTTCCCTTTGCACTGCTCAGTTGGATCTATCAAGAGTCTACTCACCACTTCGTGCTTTTAAAATAATACAAAATCCAAAAGCGAGCAGGAAAAATTTTAAGTGCATACTGAAATTTTGACTAAACTTTAAATAAGTTCCCAGCTCCAGAAAGAAACTCCAGGAGTTACAAGAGGCTAATTTTTTGTTTGTTAATAGCCACCAGAGAATTTTTAAAAATATGTAATTTTGATATTTTTAACATAATAGCAAACATATTATCTCTTCGGTTTGTTATTGAAACAATAAAATTTTCTTTAGACATTCCACTGGCTTCCGAAGACAGGAAGTGAAGTTTCTCACACATATATACCCAGGTCAGAAGAAAGTATGAGATTAGCAAAGCATGAAGTTTAGACGCAGAAAACACTGAAAGAAAAAAGAAAACTCAGAAAGTCCCTTATGTGGTTTTTAGTCTTGTCGGTATGGGCAATTCGCTCATTTTATCAGTTACCAGATTTTAATGTGAGAAAGGACGCTGTTCAATTATCTAAATATACCAATTGTTCGTAGACGGATGATGGGCGATTTGATCTGCTCTGTCTAATTCATCAGCTCAGATAAGATAAGAAAGAAAAGACAGTCAGATGTCACCAAAGGGTTAATATTTAAAAAGATTAAATTTCCGGCCTTTTTGCAGAAAATATCTGGGTTTGTTTTTAGATTTTCAAGGTAGAAACTCTTAGCCTAAAAGTAAAAGGCTACTTGCTGTTTCAAAATGCATGTTTAGGTCAAACTTTTATTTTGCCCATTACACTGACATCTCCAAAGAATTTGTAAGTTACTAATAAAACCCTGAACCAAAGCATACAGGAAAGAAAAATACTGCACAATACAATAAAAATCAATCCTTTTAAAATTTAGAAACCCCAATTTATCCCTCTATGCATTTTTTGTTTGTTTTGGAAGCGGGAGGGTGAAAAAGCAAAAACATTTTGAGCACCATAAATTCCAAGAGCAATTCAACAAGCTTCAGTAACACACCACTTATGAAAACCACTGTCAAATTTTGCAGGGGTTTCCCCTAAAAAGTAACATGAACAGCTTGGTTTAATTTATGCAATACACGTTCTGGGTAACTTTTGCACGCCAGACCCCACTTAGGCAAACTAGGAAAACAGGCGAAGTCACACCATTTTACACCAAATAATAAATGAGGCGTGGGCAGAGACAGGCACATCTCAGGAGGGGAAAGAAGCAGAATGTACGCGGCATACCTGATGTAGTCTCTCTTACAGTAGGTTTTCCCATCTCTAACAAAGCACGTACAGCTCTCATCCAAATACTGATTACACTCCGCGCATTTCAAACACGCCGCGTGCCATTCCAAATCCGGAGAAACCCGCAGAATATACTGATCGTGAATTTGATTGCCGCAACCAACACATAGGGAAATCAGACGTTTTTCTGAAATGAAAATAAATACATGATTGACTAACCGTTTACTTCCTACCGAGATAAATACACTTTTAGGATCGCTCTCTTATAGGGCATACCCTGGGAGGTTTCCTCCTCCCACCCCGCTCCCTTTCTTTTTCTTTAAAGCGCATTGCACTTTGGAATGGTAATTGAAGCGTGCCATCAAAACCCTGACTCGTTTTTTTCAAAAAAGGAGGTGGAATATATGTAAAATGCAGATTTGAATAGTCCACATTTGTAAGCCTAGCACACCATCAAACCCGTTCATTTTGCATTTCTGTTTCTCCCCTCCTCCCATAGCCACCCTGAACGATTATGAATAAGTCAAGCCAAAGAAAAGGTTTTGACTAGAAGCGTTCCGGGAACGCAGGGATGCCTGTGTTTTCCACAAAGCGCGCTCTCTCGAACGGTCTCGGGGACTGGCTCTCGTTAGCACGAGCACACATCCATACAGTTGTCACTCGTTCTCCTTTGCAAGTCTAACGCTGCTTCACCTCGCCGGGTATTGTGCATGCAGGCAGACCTCTGCGACAGAACCGCCGTCTCGGAGAGCTCAGGGCTCCCCGGGAGGAAGCCGCCCCGTAGCACCAGAAGGCTAGGGCTTCGGGGGCGCACGGGCGAACTCCAACCCCAGGTCTGATCCGTTTCCCGAAGATCAGAACCGACAGCCGAACATGCAGGCGTGGCGGCCGGGAGCCAAAGCCACCGTCTCCGTGTGTCTCTCCAGGCAAGAACTCCAACTCCGAAGAGCCCCTGGCACGCGTGCCAGAGAGCCCCCCGCACAGACCAGCACACCGAGCCCCACAAGGTAAAAGCGCCTCTTACTTTTTGGTGGATCGCCCATGTCTCCCATATCGGTAAGAGGGAGTAGTGTCCACAGTGAAATGGTGGTTGCACGGTTGGTGCACAGCCCACAGAGAGGATGCAGG